CCATTTGATCCTAGCTGGGTTGACGCTCAGCAACTCTGTGGCCAAAAGGGTTCCAAGGTTCAAGGAGGGTTAGGTCCATTTGGGCTTTTGACTCTAGCTTCAGAGAACCTGGAAGAATTTACTCCTGTTTTCTTCAGGATATTCAAAGCCACAAACAAATATCTTGTTCTCATGTGCTCTGATGCCAGGAGGTTTGTTTTTATTACTTGTCATTCATTTCTGTTAGATAATAGCCCTCAAACTTTTAGGAGAATTGTTTTTTGACATGGTATTAGAGAACCATAAAATTGACATTTGTTTCGTCTTAAGCGTATAGGTGAAACAGTTCTCGTCAATTTCTTGCAGATATTTGTTAACTTGATTTTGATGCGATTCTTCTTTGCAGTTCCTCTTTGAAGGAAGGACTATACAAACCATCATTTGCCGGGTTTGTAGACATAGACTTGGGTGAAAACAAGAAAATTTCTTTGAGAAGTTTGATTGATCATTCTGTTGTGGAGAGCTTTGGAGCAGGAGGGAAGACATGCATCCTATCTAGGGTGTATCCAACACTGGCAATTTCTGAGAATGCTCGCCTGTTTGTATTCAACAATGGCACTGAGACTGTGAGTGTGGAGAATCTTAGTGCCTGGAGCATGAGTAGACCTCTTAAGATGAACAATTGATGAAGAAGATTCAGCTTCTTAATTAATTAGCTATTATAGTTGATAAATTAAGCACAAATATAGCAATCAAACCATGTTAATGGTGCATATGTAAGCTGTAGCTTCTGCCTCCTCAACTTGTGACTGAGGATATATATATCCATCTAATCTAACTATATAATTAATTTAAAATTTTCTACTAATTAAGTGCTTTTTATTTTCTTTGTCGATTGCGTAGTCGGGTTTCCTCTCTTTCCTTTTTCTTTTCTCTCCTCATTTTGCACTGTACATAGTTGATAGTTCTTCTTTTCATCTAATTTTCATTAAATTCATCGATCTTTTTATTTTTTAGATAAAAGAAAAATTTTGAATTACCCAATGGGAGGCAATCCTTTTTAACACAAAATAATCTATAATATAACATGAGAATGTTAGGTGAATTGTATTGTTTTAATTATTGATAAAAAAATAAACTTTCAATATTAAAGAATCTACATTTTATTAAGAATTATAAAAAATGCAAACCAAGCAAGATGAATTACATTTGCATTTCACTTTTTTGATATGATTAACATAGCATTGGTTATATATAATTTATTAGGCACTTGAACTCACATGAATGAAACATATCTAATTCTAATAACTTTTTAAATTATTACTATCAATTTAATTATTATATTATTGGCATGTTATTTTTAGCGAAAAAATTATTTTTTAATTTAAATTATATCAAATTGTAAAATATATACCCTTAAATAAAAGATAAACCTTCTAATATTAATACTTTTTTTTAAATTCTATAAATTTTTATTTTATAATCTAATATTATTTAAATTGTAAAGTAATAAACTTTATTTTTAGTTTGTTTGATATTACATATCTTTGAGTCCTTTTACAACCCTAAATCAAGACTTAAATTCATGGATATTGCTTTGACAAACTCTAATTATAGTTTACAAAAAAAATGATTTAGAAACAAATTTTTTATATAACATTTTTATATTATTTGATAATTTACTCAATTTATTTTATTAAAATTTGTAATATTAAATATATTAAATTAATTAATGATATATAAAAAATTTTAAACAAAAATTTAGATTATACATTTAATTATCTACCTATTTTTTATACATTTAATTATGAACTATATAAGAGGGATAGTCCTCACTACTAGAAAACCCAACTTCACCGACCTGAAATTATCGATGTAAGAATCTTTCTCGAGGAAGCAACATCTTACTAACAATAAACATGTATGCAAAGCCAAAAATAGTAAAAATAGGAGTAATATATATTATTTATGATTCAGACAAAATCTTTGTCAGTAAATTAATACAACACACACATGTTCCTTGTTGGTAATATCAAGCAATATTCAGTCTGGCGACACGCGAACCAAAACCCAAACTACTGACAAAGAGGAGGCCTGTAACTGCATTATCTGCAACGAGAGTTTTCTTGGTGAATTTACCAACGTGATTCTTGTTGGTAACTTCCCAACCCCGTGAATTCGACTGCGTGCGACTAGAATTGCAACTTTTTAATCCAATTTACTGACGTGATTCTTGTTGATAATTTCCCAATTCCCAACCCCCAATGAATCCAACTGCTGGCACCTGTCTTTGCAGCTTTTGATCTAACTTACTGACAAGATTTCCATTGATAAGTTATATTTGGCAACCAAAGCTTTCTCGATGATGATCCTAGTCAACGAGCATCTCTAAGCAATGCAGAGATGATCAACTTTAAATGGTAGCAATGTGGATCTCTTTGGTAAGGGTTACTCTATTGCCTACTGAACCCCCTTTCCCCTTTCATTTTCATTTTCTTCTTCTGGCAACAGGTAGTTTTTGCTCTCCTTTCCTCCATTCTTTCCTTTGAATCACTTTAACATTTTTCTTCTTAATTAACAATGTGGTGGATCAAGCAATGGTAAGTGAAACTTAAGTAATATTATTATTTTTTATATTTTTTATGTATGTTTTATTTTTTTCTGTAATTTAAACTATCAAATATTGTCATTAATTAGTTCATTAGATATTAGTTAATATTGTTAGATTTTCTGTTTTATCTAAATTTGATGAATGGTTATGAATAATGTTTTGATAAATTTTTAGTGAAATTTTAATAATTAATGACGAAATATTAATATTTATGCCAACTACAATAATCAAGTTACAAAAAATCTATTGAATAAATTTCAAATTATTAAATTTTTAATAACAAAGTTTTAGAATTGCAAATGTAGATTTAAAAAAAAAAAATACCTTTTATCATATACACAAGGGAATTTTGTCAAATTTTTTTTAAAAATTTATATCCACTAAAATAATTAAAATGTAAGAAATTTGTTGGATAAATTTAGAAAATGGCATAAAAATGAACAAAATCTGGAAAGGAAGTTGTGGAGGCTTACCAATAAGCTACGTACACGTTGATGAATCTCAATTTCCCGCATGCATCTTGTCAACAACTTCCAATATCCAACGTGATTTTAGTCGGTAAAATGGTCTTCATATACCAACATGAAGTTGGTCAGTAATTTGGGCAGGGATTGCAAAATTTTGGTTTTTTTGATTCCCACCTTGAGGTAAAGTGCCTATGTGATCTTTGTCGATAAAATGAATACTGACAAAGCACGCATGGGTAAATTGGTCTATATATTCTTCACCCCAACACTCTCCCCAGCTCATTTCTTCTTACCTTCCTTTTTCTTCTTTTTCTTTCTTCTCCTCCCTTATCTGTGCTTCCTCTTTCTCTTCCATTCAATGTTGCTAAATTAATTATTTATGTTTATAATTACATTATATTAATATAATTTTAAGTTTATATCTTCTCAATCTCCTCTCTTTTTCTCTTCCATTGTTTCTTCCTATTTGATTAAATACTAATTTGTGTTATTAATAAATTTATTTGCAATTTTAATTTTTCTTGATTTTGTTTTCCAAGAAACATTAGGAGATAATCATTAGGTAAGTAAATTTTATTTATGCAGATTAACATTCAATTTCATTTATATGTTGATTAGAGCCATTTGGGTTGAAATTATAAATAAATACTAACCTAATTTATGTTTTTTTATTTTTTTAGGAAATGGTGTTATGCAAATATTCACCTATTGAGGTCATCTTTATTTTTTGGGGTTATCTAGTTATATTTTAAGTTTGTCATATTATTCTTATTTTTTAAAATATGTTTTAATCATTAATTTAAATAAATAAATACAATAATTTTCTGTTTGTATTGTAAAATTTTCATATTATATTTATTTTTCATGATATTAAATATTACGAATTACTTAATATTTAATTGTAAATTTTTTTTTTTTGATCGGCAAAATAATAGAGATTTGATTATATAGAGTACAAGGGGTACTCCAACCCAAATACAAACAATAAAATTAATCTAATTAAAACAAAGAAATCCCAATAAACATGTAATCCAACACATTGCAGTCACTCTACTCATCCGGCTGTCCATTTTTGTGTTTATGGAACACTCTCAGCAAGCTTCTATGTTTCCTTATGGCTGCAGCACATTCCCGTGGATTAAGTTTCCAATCTATAATTGAGAAAACACTTCCAGCCACCTTATTTTTAATCCATAGAAATGTTTTGGACTGAATCATATGGAGCAGCTCGTTCTTACACTCCCCTTTGTTTTGGAAGACTTTCATGTTCCTCCAATACCAAATATACCAAGACCCCACAAGGAAAAGACATGCCCCTATCTCTCTCCCTACCATACCCCCCAACTCATACAAGAAAACCTCCATCACCCCTCCTACTGTATTGGGCATCACAACCTGCAGACCCCACCAAGACAGCACCTGACCCCAAAGCACCCAGGCTTCATCACATGAGCAAAATAAATGATTACAATCCTCTTCCTCCTTTTTGCACAAATCGCACCTTAGATCTTCTATCGACAAATTAATCCCTCGTTTTTCTAAATTTCTTTTTGTTGGGAGTCTGTCCAAACATAATCGCCACCCAAAGAAACTAACTTTTGAAGGTACTAATTTACACCAAATCAACTTACAGATTTGCTCAGGAAGAATGGCCTCCATTGGTGACAGAAACTCATAGGCCTTTTTCACTGCGTATCTCCCTTCTGCATCATGCGTCCACTTCCAGCAATCTTCGCGACCTTCCGCGATTTGAACTCTGCTAAGCACCTCCCACAGCACCACTTCCTCCCCCCTCTCTCGACCCAACCTCCCTCTTCTCCAGTGCACATTCCATCGCCAGACACCCATTTCCCACACCCCCATCTCACAAACCATACCATCCTTACTCATAGCTAGCTCAAATAGCCTAGGGCATAACTCCTTTAGAGATTTATCTCCCACCCAACTCTCGCGCCAAAAACCTACATGCCTTCCATCACCAACCATCCACCTAAACCCCTTCCCTAACATGTCATGTAATTTAATAGACTTCCCCCCGACACTAATAACATCCCTCCAAATCCTAGACATCCTCACACTATCCATAGCCCTAATGTCCACCTCCCTCCGACCTTCATAATATTTATCCCACACGACCCGTTTCCATAGACTCTCACCACTATCACCCAACCTAAACCACCACTTCCCTAAAAGTGCCCAATTCCTCCTCCTAAAATCCAGGACTCCTAACCCACCCTTCTCCTTACTACGACATACCGTCTCCCAGCTAACCCAAGGAATCTTCCTCTTTAATTCAACCCCACCCCACAGAAAATCCCTCTATATTCGAATCAACTCAGACACCACACAATTAGGCGCTAAAAATAAAGACATGTAAAAAATAGGTAAGGAAGAGAGTACCGAATTAAGCAGAGTAATGCGACCGCCAAAGGACAGCAAGGCAGATTTCCAGACGGCAAGCTTGATTCGAAATTTATTCAACACCGGATCCCACAACTTCTTAGTCCCAGGATTTCCACCCACTGGCATACCCAAATACACAAAAGGTATCTTCCCAACACCACATCTCAAAACAGATGCTGCTCCATTTAACCACCTCTGTGCCACATTAAATCCGACAATACTACTTTTACGAAAGTTAATTCGCAATCCAGACATTAACTCAAACCACCGTAAAATGGTTTTTACCATAAAAATATTCTCTCCACTTGCTTTTCCCAAAATCACCGTATCATCCGCAAATTGGAGCAATGAAATAGTTAATCCGTTGCTACCCACGTCAATTCCATGTATCAGTCCCTCTGTCTCAGCTTTTTTGACTAGGCCATGTAACCCCTCGGCTATCATCAAAAACAAGAAAGGGGATAAAGGATATTTAATTGTAAATTAATTGAATTAAATAAAAAATATATATTAATTTCAATATTAATTCAAGAAACTTTTTTTAAAAATTTTTTGCAGATTTATTTACCAATGTTATCCTTACCGATAAGTAGCAGAAAAGAAAAATGGCACCTAAAATTGCTGACCCAAATCTTGTTGGTGATTTTTTAAATCTCAGACAGCATTCTCCTCGGTGAATCATTGACACAGCTTAGACTTTGAGGCACCTCCTGTAGTTACAAACATGAACTTCGTCGGTAAATTACCATCATGGATTACTAGAAAAGATCTCCGGTGTTACTATTCCAGCCTAATGTTTGACAGATGTTTCTTGTCGGTAATTGGGAGTCAGTTTACTGACGTGACTTTAATTCACATCGATAAATGAATTACTGAGCTTGCTTTCACTGACAAAGTCATTTTCGATATGATCCAAGTTGGAACCCTATTTTACTGACTTGATTACCTCTCTTTCCGACATGATTTCTTAGCAGTGAAATTATGAATTCTAGTAGTGCCTCCTCTATTCCTGAATTCTTCTTCACCTGATTCAAGACTCAAATTTGAAATCTTCAACTTAGAATTTTAAAATTTTAACAATTGAGTCACTCTATTGAAGTTAAATTATCCACATATTATTTAACTATAATTTACATGCAATACCAATAAAAATTACTCGGTATTATTCAGCGGGTAGTCACTGGTGTGGTGGCTGAATTGAGTTCCTTATTTTTAGCCCCAACTCTCTTTTTTTTTTTTTTGGTGGTTTAACATTCATGAAACTGCTCGAATTCCTAATTGAATAAGAATGGTAATCGTAGTATTTATCTTATTCTGATGTGTACCTTCCAACATTTATCTTCACAATTAAATAAAATAAAATAAAATTAAATAAAGACTCTACACGCCGTGGAAGAATGGATGGTTGGATAAAATTACTTCCTTTATTTTCATATATTTATTGTTAGCATACTTTCGAATTAGTTTTTATACACTTAATATTATATTTGATTTAAATGAAATAAATAAATAATTTTTTTTATCAATTAAATTCTAATATTTAAAAATATCATTATTTATTTGATTAAGATTCTCCCCTTTACCCTCCTCTCCCCTTAACCTAAACATATTATAAGTTAATTTCTCATCAAACAATTTTAAAAATGCCTTTTTGTTCATTAAACTTCACAGTTCTTCATTCCCAAAACTTTACTTAGCACTTTTAGCACTTCTCGGTTAACAACATGCTAAATGAACGTGACATATAAATTTAACAGAAAAGTTCTTCTTTTAGTAAATAATAGATGTACAATATTTTTGTGTATAATATATTTTTTATTTGGACATGTCAAGATGTCTTTGAGTCAATTTTATGTGCCCAAAATTAATTCATTCTTAAGTAATTTTAATGTGTAATCTCACGTTGATTTAGTACATTTAAAAAAATTAATGTTTTTGAGTATTGGTCTAATACTTGAATTTTAAACTTATCCATATAAAATAACACTTGTTACTAATAAAACCAACATTTGAAGTTTTTTTGGTGTACAATAGTTTATGCAATATAATGTAGCATTTTGTGATTTACTGTTTTTTACTAAGAACCACAAATATATCAATATATATCCACCCATTTAATGGTAGCCTT